AAATACAATCTTTAAAAAAGATAGCGTTTCCTTCCGAGAGGATGATAGGGGAGAGGCAAGCAATCAATACCCTTAATTTCTTTCTTAACCTGGGTGGGAGTTATAAAGTGTACACCTTAATATCATTTGTAAGTTACATATCATTTGTTCTATGCCATCTACATATATTTTACAACAAAGGTTGTAATAATTTGTTTTTAAAATTTGTATCTTGAAGAAACATACTATTAGATATAATTAAAATTAATTAGATTTCTTCCTCTTTTTTTGGTGTGGCATTACTGCCATAAAATTTCCTTTTCTCTAATTAGAAGATAATATGCAAGTAAATACATTACATCATCCTTTTATCTAATTCATACGAGACAGCACTAGAATCCATTAAGAATTGTGTGAACACAAGAAAACCTGATTACAGTTTGACTTCAGAGTAAAAGTTTGAGCTAGTAAATTAAATGTTATTCTCATCACTTGCTGGACATTAACAAGGCATCACTCTGGTGGGTCTCAGTCAACTTCTAAGAATACCATGGAACTGACAGGGAAATAGCAAATGCCTGGTGATCTAACAGAAACCACTGGCATATGCTGGCCCATCAGAAGCTGACTATCCAACTGCAACTGTCAGGTATCAGTCCAGGACGCAGTACACAGTAGGTCAGAGTGGCTACCCTGGGTTCACCCTGTCATGTTAACGTTTACAAATTCAACAGCCACAGCAAAGCTCCTCCACCTCTGCACAGCTAACCATTATTTGCTCATGTTCACCCATCCAAATTCTCCCCCCAGCTTGCTTTTGGAATTTCTATGTTTCTCACCGACTTGCAAGCAGCCGTAAGGAATGGTGGATAGATGCTGGCCTGGCTGAAATAAGTTTAGGCAAAATTAATGTGCTACTCCACAAGCACTGTTTCTGATTAGTTTTAGTTCACAAAGGGTCTTGTTGGCTCATAAAAAAGGGCACCATCTCGGCGCGTCTGGCTCTGTCGGTGAAGCGTCGGCCTTCGGCTCAGGTCATGATCCCAGGGTCCCAAGATCGAGTCCCACATCGGGCTCCCTGCTCAGCAGGAAGCTGCTTCTCCCTCTCCCTCTCTCCCTCTGTGCGCATGCTCTCTAATAATAAAATCTTTAAGAAAAAATAAAAAAATTTTAAAAAGGGAGCCCGCGGGCGCCTGGGTGGCTCAGTCGTTGGGC